TCATTTTTTAAAAAATATTATGAGAAATAATTAAAAATAAATAAAACTAATAATTAATATTATATTAAAAAATAATATAATATTTATTTTAAAACATATTTTATCTTCTAACATAATATGGTAAGACCCACATGTTGAAATTATAGGAGGTAGGGGGTGACTTCCGAACAAAGAAAGTAATCTTTAGCTTTGACCTTATGCATGCCTCATGGTGTGGTGTAATTTGCTGGCAAAAGCGTGACAAACAAATCTTATATACACACATGCACTATATCCCAATCAAACATGTCCATCTAATTTTTCTTCTGCTGCCACTTTCATTCACACCCAAAGGACCACGTAAAAAATAAACATGCACGCATGCATGGTTAAGTTGCTCAATAATCACAACATGTCTATAAGGTATTGTCGGTTGTAGCATGTTTAATTCCAATATTAAATAATTCTATGAATTCTGGAAACCAAGTAGAATAAATTAAGCAATTGATAGTTTGAATAAAACTAGAGTGGATCTTCTTAAGTAAGGTCTTATATTTAGATTTTATAGATAAAAAAATGTAGTTGAAAAGTTAGATTCTACTAATAATAATTAGTCAAATTATAATAAAGTCTGTAAATTTTTTGCAGTAATAACAAAATTAAAAAATATGGTAGAATGGTAAAAACTATTAGGTACACTCAAATCAATTAAGTGGTTTAGTTGGACAAAAACTATATAAAACACAGTTGTTTTTGGCCTAAGTGAAGATTGAGGACTGTAATTTATTTTATTTTACACTATGCACCTAAAAGGCTTGGATATGGTATGATTTGGACCAGTTTCTTGCTTTTGCGAATCTTGGTCTCCAACATCTTCATATAAAAGGACGCTTTAGCATCTTCACCATTCTTATTTCGGTGCTTTAATTTGTAAAAAAGATAAGTGGGTTCAAGTGTGATCAAAGTATACCTTTCTATAACTTGTAATATCTCAGATTTAATGGTGTTGAAAACATTAGTCACAAATTCATTTTGATTGGCAAAAATAAGGAAAGGGATTTTTAAAATCTTAACAATGTAATGAACAAAAAGAAGAAAAGAGAAAAAAATTGTAAATAATAATAAGTTAAGTTTAGATAAATAATAAATTTACTATTGGAGTAAGTAAATCCCTTCTCATATATATTAAATTATTATACATAATTTTTTTAGCCAAATATAAATAAAAAAAATCTCATGAATTATAAATCAAAATATAAATAAACATTAGCTAATTCTATCCTATTTAAAGATATCATATTCAAAATATCTTTCATTTGAGTAAGATTTTATTTTTAATTGCTTCTTGTATTATATTTCAATGAAGAATACTATGGAATTTTTTTAGTGCATAAATTAATTAATTTTGCACTCGAAAAGATTAAATATATCTTTTTACTTATATTTAACACAAAATAAAAAAAATAAAATAAAGTAACATTACTCTGTTTCTTTTTCAATTGAGACGGTGCATATATTCTTGTATCTTTTGTTCCTAAATTAATTCCTTCAAACATGTATTGTTTCATTCAAAATAAATACATTAAATAAGGCTAATGTTGATTATTATACAAGTTATAATTTTAATTTGATAATGTACATATTAAAATACTGCAATATATTTGTTTTTTATTCTTATTATTAACAAAATTAAATATAAAACTTAACATAAGATTTTTCCTGGTCACTATTTTAGCTTTTGAACTCCATTCTATAAAATTATAATGCAACTTATGATACGATTGTAACTTATACGTCTATTTTGACATATCTCAAAATAATATTGAATAATTTTATTAATATAAGATTTTGTAAATATATATCTTATATAATGAAAAAAATCAATCTAATGATAAATTTTAAGATACAATTATCTAATAAAAGTTATTGATAAGCGTGATAATTAAGTCCTTTCCATATCTTATATATAAGTAAAAAAATTATTAATTTCAAACAAATTAAAAAAATAGTTAATTATATTTAATTTTCATGATTTCATATAAAATATATATTATATTTACTAAAATGTTCATAATCATATTTATTGTAAATAATGTTCTCATTTATCATCTCAAAGATATTTTTGGATAAAAAATATTAAATAAATTTGATTTGGTTAAAATTTGTTTATATTTGAGTCTAAAAGATTTATTTATTTATCTTATATATAAAGTAGGCTTAAATATATTTTTAATTCTTTAAATTTAAGATAAATTTATTTTTAATCCCTCAAATTTAAAATTGATCTTTTTAGTTCCTATAATTTTAAAAAAATCTTATTTTGGTTCTTATACTCAAATTTTATTAGAAATTTATCAAGTATTATCACTTAAAATACATTTATTGGTGTTCCTATTAATAAAAAATCACATTAAACTAGTTGATACTGCATAATTCTCTTAATCTGTTATTTTTACATATGTTATTGATAATTTAAGAAATTAAAACAAGATTTTTAAAAATTATAAGATTAAAAATAACAGTTTTAAATTTAAGAAATAAAAATAAAAAATTATTTAAGTTTATAAAATACCACTTAATTGGTATATTTCTCTCTTGTTATATTACTAGTAAATTAAGATATTAAAAAAATAGGAAGACTCTTTCAGGAAAAAGGAAAATGTTGAAGAAGGACAGAGATAAAAATAATTCACTCGAGTGCTCACTCAAGTTGTAATAGTTAGCATGTGCGCCAGCTGTAGAAGAAAGGGTGAAACATCAAAAATATTTGTTATGGTCGAAGAATGCGTGTCGGGTCCTGTCCTACAATCCTGGACATATATGTATTCAGTGTATTGTCACTTGTCACCAACCAATAAACACTACCATCATGCATTAATCAAAATCACGCCATAAATTCATAAAATAACTTGCATTCAGTAAAGCAAACGTTTTTTTTTTTGAGTGAACAAAAGGTTTCATCAACTTGAAAAGTTTGGAAAAATCCTGGGAACCAAATAAAATGCAACGTCGTAGGTAAAAGCATTACGCATTATAACGTGCCAGGCCTGCTAGATCAATCTCAAATCTGTCTCCTCTTTTAACAACCCATCATAGATTCCTATTTACCCATAAGCTGCTTATGCATTACATCAAACCCCTTTCCTGAAATACATGATCTTCTAATTTATACTTTCCACGGCCATGGGTTCAGAACCTTAATACACGTTCTAAGACCATGCTCATGGTCATCATCCGTCGTTATCACATCATGGTTTCCAAACTGTAGCAATTATACAGCAGGATAGGGAAGTTTAAATTTTAATTATACAGGTTAAGGTCAACCCAAACTGTAGTACAATTCAACAAAACTAATGAAAATGTACCGCACACGCAACGTCACCTCAAACGTGCGTGTGCTGAACACACAATGGGCATAATAGCAAGTCAAGTGTTGAACAAAACAATCCGACCAATACGGTGAATTGCGTCAGCAAATGAAACATGCCATTCAAAAGCTTTAGTTTGCCTGGGCCAGATAACTTGGAGAGAAACTACAATATCGTAGAGCAAGCAAGAATTTCAACGAATTAAAACACTAAAATACAATGTCTTTAGTTTACTTTCTAAAATTGGTATCTTACCTTAACTACACGTCAAAGCTATGTCTTGGATAAACAAGCATTAAACGTGATAATTTTAAACCGTCAAAATTAGTACAAGTCAATAGCTAAAAATATCGGGACAAATATAAAGTCCACTATTTAGTACCTGTTACATGCCGATAATGTTGAGGAGAAAATACGCATTATGGATATTCTCCTATCGCAGTATCTCCACAGAAATGACAGTATACAGACCCAGACCAGCATTTATTGAACAAACAATTACAGCGACAAACAAAAATAGTATCAACGTGATATGCTGACTATAAAGGGTGTTGTGAAACATCTGTTCTAATGGGGATTCACCCATCCTTGTCAATGAAAGTTGATGAAAAGAGTATAGTACAAACTAAAACTATTAAGCTGTAAAATCAGCTATCAAATCCAACCATTCCCTCACAACCGATATAGAAACCTTGAATCTCATTCGTTCCACCATTTCTGTGGCAATATACAGTATTAACCAGGAAGACTCCAAATGGTAAGGGAGGTTGCGTTTCCAATATGGCAACGTACACTATTTAGATGGCAACTGGGCCAGTCGATCTCTATTCTCCAAGCAGATGAACCTCTTTTAGTTGATTAATCCTGTGCCATGTGATCTGCATCTTCTGCAGTAGGTTGTTTGTTTGTGGTGGCTGCAGTTGTTAGAACTTCTCTAGGTTCCTGAAAAATAATGGATTAGACAGGGAGAACTGTACAAGGTATGATGTTATTTTTATGTAGTAAAAAAAAGATTCCTCCTAGCACCAGAGGAGTAATATAAAGAAAAAAGAGAGAGGAAAAAAAAAACAACTTATGGAGGACCATTTACCACTCCAGATATAGAAGAAAAAAAGCTGAGATAGTTCTAAATTTTTTTAAATAGAACTGTTCACGGTGGGATACTGAGGAGCTATGAGGAGTAGAAGAAGCGCAAATACTAAGGAAGGAAAGGGAAAATGAAGAGTTTTCATTTTTTTTTAATTTAAAATAATTTACTTAAATATCCCTTAAGTGAGGCTGTTGCATTAAAATGAAATACAGGATTTTAGAGTGTTTGGGGAGGATTATAATCTCTCATTTCAACTCTTTTTTTTTTAAAAAAAGATTTTTTTGTGTACAATGCTAATATATTCCAACTAAATTTTTGAAATAGAACTGTTCACAGTGGGATACGAGGGGCTATGAGGAAGTAGAAGAGTAAATAAGGAAGGAAAGGGAGAATGAAGAGCTTTCATTTTTTTTTTTTAATTTAAAATAATTTACTTAAATGCCCTTAAGTGCGGTTGTTGCATTAAAATGAAATACAGGGTTTTAGAGTGTTTGGGAAGGATTATAATCTCATTTCATCTTTTTTTATAAAAAAAAAGTTTTTTGGTGTACAATGCTAATATACTCCAACTAAAAGAGGTTGGAGATATTAGCAAACTTCTTTTTAATATATTTTTAATTATCATGTAAATTTTATATAAGAATTATTTTAAAAATGAATTTATTGTTTTTAATAAAATTTACATGAAATCAACTCGATAATTAATTCTTAGCCCTTATATATGCATGTTTGATTCAATTGATTTTGAAGAAATAATCACTTATTCTAGCATATCTATGAATGAAGCAATGTATCTTTAACAAATAAATATTAGGAAAAATGCCCTATATTCACGTGCAATAATACCTTGTCTAAACTTTTCTCGTTTATCTCAACACTGTTGACTTGAGCAGAACCTTCATTATTTTCTGTTTCAGATGTAGATGTAGAATTCTGATTTCCCTCCAAGTCGTTCCTCAACGGATTCCCATTTACTACTCCAGATATGGAGGGATCATTATCTAAATTCACAGACAGAGGTTTTTCATCCAAATCACCTTCGTTTTGATTTCCCTCTTCAACTGTTTTCTCAAGTGTCTCATGTACTTTAGTTTCTCTAGCCGCTGCTTCTGCTGCTTTCCTTTTCTCTTCTTCTCTTTGTTGTTTTCTCCTTGCCTCTTGCTCCTTTATTTGCCTAAATCTGCAAGAGACAGAGTACAATTACAACAGATGAAAAATAAACTAAATAGCATACAAAATGAATGTAGGCTACCTACAATTACTAACCGTTCACCAGGTTGTGGTCCCTCTGACTTTTTCTCACTTTGTTTGGCTTCTTCCACTTGTGTGGAATTTAGTTTAGATATTGACTTCTGAACCTGTGTTAGTTCATCCTTCATGATATCATCTGGGAATATTGACTTCTGAGCCTGTGTTAGTTCATCCTTTATGATATCATCTGGGACTTGCCTCACAGGATTTTTAGCACCTCCTAACTTTTGAAGCCATACTTGTTGTCCGGTGCTCAATATATTATTTGTTAACCTACACAACATAAACATAATACGTAAATAGATATAGATAGGGTTAAATAAACAAGACCCACCGTATGCTTTACCTATGCTTACCAGTAAAGGCTAAGACCAGAAGGAACTGAGAGAGCAAAGTAACCAATCATTAATGGAAGAAACTTGGTCAAGGCTTGAGAACTTTTCATGTTCGGATCATTAGCCTAAAAAATTGACATGGAAAATGACAGAATAACTCAGCTACCAATGTAAATAAACATGCACTTTAATGTGCAGACACATGAAATAAAGTAACACAAAACAGTTTTCTTTAATTTTTGTAGAAGGGGGGAAAGATTGGATTACATGACATATTAGATGAAAAGGTAATCCGGCTAAATAGCCACACTATGGATACAAAAAGGCCAAAAATTAATACAATATACTATATATTGTGCTAATTAGCAAGCAGCTTGAGATGTGTTCTACTTATAGCTATAACAGCCATGGCTAAAATTCTTGGAGAACAAAATAAGGTTCTTGAACAATATTAAGGTTAGAACATACACGCAACTGATTTCATTGTACATGCTACATGACTGACCTGTGATGACTGCATTATTTGGACAGAGATGTACTGAGAGACGACCAGCAACACAGGCAAGACAAGGTAAGCCAATGTATCTGACCATCCAAGGGGAGGGTGACCATCCTAACAACAAATGAGTAAAAAGAAAAAATATTAAAACGCTCACATTAAAATCCACCTAGAATCTGCAATTAATCACCAACAATGTGAACAAAAACCAAAATAATATATGAAATTTTTTTACAATAACTGAAGGTCTGTCCCACTTGACAAAGAAGGTTCAATAACTGAACATTATCATTCATGCAATTGTTGACTTTTAACAAAAGAGAGGAGAGGTGCATCTTGGTTTGTTCCATATAAATATAAGCTTTTTCAAGTGCGTGCTTAATAACAAAACGTGCAATTGTAAATACACGGCTATCCTTCCTTTTCCTATTGTGTAATGGTATAAGTACAACCCACACCCGCATATATTAAAGACATATATCACAGGTTGCTTCCAGAGCATTTTTCCAAAGCAAATATTTTACTTAACATACCCTGTGTAGTCGGCAATGCATTCAACATTGGTACATATATGATTGTGATTTGTGCACCCCCAAATTTGAAGGGTTCCCTATGATCTGGGTAACTTGCGATAGACAACAGAAATTTTCTTGTATAAGAGAGGGCACAAAAATTAGAACAATGGAGAGTATGGCATTTTCCTATTACAAAATTTGAAAATAAGAAAATCAAATAAGTGTTATGATTTTTTTTAAATATCAAGTCACCAACAGGGTAATCTTAAAAAAATGTCGAAGAAGAAAACCACAAAGGATTTAATATGACCATCATTGCTTCAATGAAGTAACTAGAGCTGAAATAAGGACTCTTAAACAGTAACATTTTCCACCAACCAAACACAGATAGTCTCGGTAAATATTACACTACTCCAAACAAAATATTCCCAAATTTACTACTTGCACACTCTCCAAGAAATTTAACAACTTCATTGCAGTTCATAAACAAATTCAACGCTTGCCGAACAGGCAAAAATATCAAAATCAAAAAATTGTTCCTAACAAACCATGCAACAAAACAACTAAAAATATATAAGAAATATGCCACTTATCAATGATGCAAATGATGAGACAGTTCACAATTTGATTTCATAAGATATTAGCATGAAAGTCAATGACCTGAGCTGAAAATGATCCGTACAAGGTTACAAGATTAATGTTAGTAAATCATGAAATTTTACTTTCTAAGTGAGATACTCACCACAAAAGGGAAAAGCCAAGAGATACCACTGCCATTTTGACGAGATGCAATTGTAGTTGGACCAGCAAGAGAAGGTATCCAGAAGAAGCCTTCTGTAAGGAGTCCCTTTGTATATAAGACAAATTACATTAGCCATGGAAGATAAGAGTCACTTACACCCAAAAAAATTGCATAGCTAACTATCGAATAACAAATCAATGTCATAATAAGCATACCTCATCTGCCACATTTGAAAGGGCTCGATATAAGCCAATCCACACTGGAATTGTTGCGAGTGTAGGTAGGCATCCTAGTAAAAAAATCACCAACTTCATGTTTAATAAAACAGATGATGCTTATAATTCCGTATATTAACCAAAGAAATATTAGGAGAAAAATTATAGAAATAACTTAGAAAACAGCAGGACTTGTGAGCTATGGAAACTCCATTCTCAAAGCCAAAAGAAATGTCTATAAACCTTTTGCAATATAGCTAATCATGAAATGAATACCTGCCAGAGGATTAATGTTGGCTAGTTTATACAACCGAGCAGTTTCAAGTTGTATCCTTTCCTGCAAGAAGACAATATATAAATCTTCACATTTGAACTATTATAGCAAATTCAAAATGTTAACATTGTGTTTGGAATCCTCAAAAGTTGCAAATTATTTATTAAGATTTGGAAATAAAAAATTATATGTTAGCACCTTAAAAAATGGGATTTGAATTGATTTAAAATCAAATCCTATGTTTGGAACTCATCAAAAATGAAATCATTTTTTTCTTATTATTAAAAAGGATATTCGGTAGAAGAGTAAGAGTAAAATGATCAATCAATACAACATATATAAACCAATTTCCCAAAATCCTGCTAAATTTGATAGGATTTGTAAAAAATCAATAAGATCCATGGATTTTAAATATAATCAATTTTTTTCTAATCTTTCCAAATACAAATTTTGGTTTAGAAGTCCAATCAAATCCCATCTTTTAACATTCTAAGCACACACTAACAGGAGTGACTGACTTTGGAATTCTATCAAAAATTGTAGGAGCTTATGCAATCTCCCCCTCCTGGCAGAGGGGGGAATTGGAAATCACTTTTATGGTTAAGTTTTCAGGAAATATATAAAAATAGTAATTTCCACAGTAGTTTAATTGTTATAAAAGAGATTTTATTGGTAAAAGTAACACATATAGAGGCTAAGTAATATACCTGATCTCCAGCATATCGCTGCTGGATAGCCTTTACTTGAGGTTGCAAAGTTCGCATAGCCAAGGCAGATTCTACCTGAGAATAATCACTTAAAAGTTTATTTAACTGAATCACAACGAATATAAAATAAGGAAGAATATTATATTTCTATCTGTTACCAAGATTTTTAATGTCAAAAAGCAATAATAGTCAGTTTCCAACCATAGATGTATGAGATTCAAAAGATCATGACTTGTATTGGTCATTTTCAGCACTAACACTAGCGAAGCATATTTCAACAACTGCATACAAACCTGTTTTTTGGTTAATGGAAAAGTAGCAGCTTTTACGAGAACTGTGAGCAGTATAATTGCAAAACCATAGGCATATGGGACATGCAAAGTTGAAAGCCCATCCTTGAGTACCTGAAAAATGTAAATTACTTCCCTCAGAATTACCGACAAAACTGTAAATTAGACTGATGTCGCACTTATACAAGTACGATTTTAAATCAAAATAGTCATCTAATTCACACATAACAATAATTGAAAAACAAAATATATTTAATAAAACGCATTGGATTCTTTTTTCATTTAGCAAGTAGGAGGCCTTGAAGGAAGATGTTGTAAGGGGATTTAGAATTATTCACGTATCACAAATTCACAACTTCCAACAATTTCAAGAGGAGAATTACAAGAAATATCAAATAAGTAGATAAAAACAAAGAAGCACTAGCAAACTACTTCCTTTGATCGTTAATTGCCAACTTGTCTACAGATTCATGATTAAAGTTATCGTGCAGTGCACTATCAACAGAAGAGTTTACCACATTGGTTTAATAATTCTACCATTAAGCGTCAATAAAAAAAATGATTACGTTAGACAAACTCGCAATCTTCAATGCATCAGTTCAGAGGTCAAACACTAGAGGTTTCCACATGAATAAATCATTTCATTACAATGCAAAAATTATCATCATAACTTTTATGTCTAGAGCTAGTACGGGAAATCGCACCTTTACAATCAGAATCGAAACAAAGATATTTCGCATTTGTTAAACAGGGAATCCTAATTTCGCTAGCGATTTTTCTCAACAACAAATACCCCAAACCACCGCAACCGGATCCCTACCCTACCTAACAGCAACAATGAGTGCAAGCAAACTGTAGAGAGCTATAATCTTAGTTACATTCTCACTTCTCCATTCTTATTCCATCCTCTCCAAACACAAGTACCTTCAAGCGCGTTGATAATTTAAGTTGCAGTTTCGATTTCAAATCAAATCGGAAGCGTTCGGAGTTTCAGAGAACAATACCTTGAGAACCGTCTCCATGTAATTCGTAATTCCGGAAAGCCAATCGTTGCTCTGTTTGGCGGCGGCGGCGGTTGGTGCAACCGCGTCGGAGGAAGAAACAGCGGCATCGGCAATCGTGTAGAGAAGTCCCTCCGCTCGGCCAAACAGTTCCCTGAGGAGGCCTTCGGCGTCATCCGGTTCAGGCAAAAACCCGGGTTTGAAGCCGAACCGGACGACGGAAAGCGACCCGCGGAGAAAGTGTCTGGTCGAACCGGAGAAAGAGTGGGAGTGAGGTCGGCGCGGGAAGCGGCTCAAGCCGCTCCGGTTCGCGAACGGAGCAGAGACTATATTCGGCGCGCAAGGTAGCAGAGACGCCATGGTATTCGGTTCACGACGAACCGGGCGGTTCAAAAAGAAAATAGAAGCTACACTTCCCGGTTTGGTTGAAAGTAGAGAGAAAGCGGTTTGTTGAATATACGAGCTCTTGCAGTGGAAATGGAGCAACGCGAAAGGCGAAAATGTGGTGATATTGTTGGGAGCGCAAAGCTTGGGGGTTTCCACTCCTCTTTGGTTGGGTTTTAGAAAAATGAAAGGGGCCCACTTATACGTATTTAAGAAATGTAAAAATAAAATATCAGTAATATTAATACAGAAATTTACATTATTATTAATTATTTGTAAAAAAAATCTAAAAGGCAGTAAATAAATATTTCTTATTAGATGCTCAAATTAGGTAATATAACCACACTATTTTATAGTGTCTTCTATTATTTATTCTATCTAGAAAGATTAGAGTGATCTTAGTATTTGCTACTTTCCTTTTCGGTCAACGCTTCTAGCTAAGTTTCATCTGCTTTCTTAATTTCACGTGATTATTTGTTTGTTTACTAAAAAGGAATTTTCTTTAAACTATGCTTGAGGTAGATTGGCACCGAACATATTATCACCTTTTTAACGTGATAAAATTAAAATCGGACTCTGATACAAGTATATATGAACTATTTATTATTAAAAAAAAAATGATAGACAGGAGACAAAAGTCAAAACATTACGCTGCGTGACTTGAGCCCGTCAATGACTTGGGCTCCGCTTCGTAGATTCTATGCGGACAAGGCTGAGCCCAACTCAATAATCCATATTATAAGATGCTTGCAGCCCTCTAGTGAAAACATTCAAAAGTAAAATTTAATCATTTCAATCCTAAGAGTTTTGATATTTCTAAGAATGAACTTTGAAATTTTTGACTTTATTACCTTCACTCTTAATGATCATAAAGGAGGCATTAAGACAAACCACTGAGATCCAATTTGATTATTTAGTGCTACTCGACCTACTGGGTTTTGAGTTGTTGAGTACCTAAAGTGCCTCATACAAAACTTGCTTGTTAAACTTATGACGAGGTTGGGCTACATGGAGACCCCCTAGCTCAAGTCGACTTTGATATGAGAGAGTACACTTTCAGTAAACTTGTAACTTTATTCTTATTAGAGGGAATCGAGGTACTTTGTGTTTCTAATAATTATATACAAACATCATATTATAAGAAGGTTGCATATAATTATTCAAAGAAGATAATTTTTTTTTTTATATTTGAGAGTAATAACAGTCCACTAAAAAGTGGAGACCAAAAACAATTACATGTCTCGATATTCCTTTTATAATATGCATAGATACAAGTCAACTTGTTAAGTATTTTAAAAAGGTAAATAAACATATATTTTAGTATTTTATGACAAATTTGATATATAATAATTGTCAAATATATTGATATCTTTTATCTGATTTAAGTAATTATGTAGTATATATAATATTTTGAGTCTTTTTTTTTCTTATCAAAAGTCAGTATTTTAATTTTGTCCGATTAATTAGTAGAGTTTTTTTTAATTTGATTTGATTTTTATTTTCATTTTTTTTAAGTTTTGAGATAAGAGTCAATGATAAAAGACATCTTTGGAGTACCATGATGAAGTCATTCAAGCAAGCCATTTGAGTACTTTGAGCGAACTAATATAGCAATACAACTATGGATATGTCATCTAACTCGCTTATGAGCTGTGTAGAAAAATCCCACTTGATACATTATAAAATTATAACTTGAGGGATGTAGTCATTGACTTCGTTTTTCAATATTATTTATAGAGATTAGAGAGAGAGAGTGGTAGGCTTGTAATTATGATTCCTCGACGATTTTCATTTGTGTTTATAAGCAAATTCCTTAGTTATAAATAGTTAAGTTCTTGGTTTTAGAGGATTTACGTAGCTACCAAACTCTATGTAACTCTTTCATGTTCTTATTCATTAAAGGTTTTTATTTAGTTAATTATCATTCTTATTTTCTTAATGCATGTTTTGACTTAACTACCCTCCACATAATCCATAAAATTAACGTAAGTTAGAAAACCTCTTTAAAACTATACGAAGAATAACATGAATAGCGGTTATTACTAAGAATATGATGAGTTTTATTAATCAATTTTTATGCCTTCTATCTTCATGTCAATTGTTTTACAAAGTTCACAAAGGAATTGATACTTCTCTTAAACAACCAAGAATTTTTGCCTAAAAGATTAAGATTAAAATATATATTGTTAACTATTAAATTAACTTAATAATTATTGAAATTTGATAATTATTGAAAAAGATATGTGTGAGAAGAAGGTAAATAAAATAAACCCCTAACATATTTTAGTCATTAATTTTAAACTTTTATTTTTAATCTATCTTCTTATTCTTAAAACTCTAAAAATACATTATTTATTTTTTATGTGTTCTTAAACAATTTTTTCTTTTTATTTTTCTTAATTAGTATTTAATTAGATTAATCAACTGTAACACAAATCTATGTGAATTTGATACTTGAATTTCTATCCATTTTACTATTTACGATAATTGATATGCTTATCAAAAGTCTATCAATAATAATTTTTATTTAAATAAGTAAACAAGTAGTTAATTTGAGTAGTAATAGACTTAGTTCTCGTAAACAAAATTTTGAATTCAAATTTTATGTATAAAAAAAACATGATTAAAGAGAAAATACTAAAGTGATATTGAACTTTATTAAAATAAATTTATTGACTGAAATTAGTTATCGATAAAATCATAAATATTTATTACACATGCCATATCTATTAAACTTTTTAAGTAGATTAAAGTATCAAGTTCTTAATTAAATAAACATTGATAAATAAAAAATTGACCTTTTCCATAGTTAAAAAGATTAGACATATACTTAATGTAGTTAAAAAGACTAGACATAAACTTAATGTAAGTGGGTCATATTCTTATTAGGAGCATATCTCTATTTGGAAGGAGTAGTTTTTGTTTTAATGAAAAAATTAAACTAACTTAATACATGACTTGATATAAGATCAAAATTGATCATTATTTTTTATTTCCAAGATTTTTAATAAAATTATTAATTGTTTATCCCATCTGGGTACAAATTCATATAAAACAAAACTTATAACAAATAAAAGTGAAAAGGACTTGAGCAATTAACGAATGGTGTATTATTGCATTTGTGTAAGCATGTGGAAGTGATAAGAAAGATAGGAAGATGAGGTGGAAAACTCACCAATGAAGTCCATTCGGATAAGAAAAGAATCCAAGACCACGATCTGATTGGACCAAGTTCCCCAACTCCATTTTGCCATCTATATTCCGAACTCAATACTGCTTTCATGCGCTAATCCTTCACTCTCTTCCGACCACAATGGCAGCCACCATAGCAACAACAGCGATGGCCATCATAAACTCAAAGTGCCTAAACCCAACCAAGCTCCACAACAGCCCCAAGCTCGCACTCGCAGTGCCTTCAAAACCCACCCTCTTGTCCCCCCACAACCTCCCAAAGGGCCTCCACGTGTCCACCACGGCGCTCGCCGGCGCAACGTTCTGGACCCTCGGCAACTGCGACGCGGCCTTCGCGGCGCAGCAGATCGCCCAAATAGCGGAGGGCGACAACCGCGGCCTCGCGCTGCTGCTTCCGATAATCCCCGCCATCGCGTGGGTCCTCTTTAACATTCTGCAGCCTGCGCTCAACCAGCTCAACCGCATGCGGAGCACCAAGGGGGTTGTAATTGGGCTTGGGCTTGGGCTTGGCCTGGGAGCCTCGGGCCTGGTGTCCGGCCCGGAAGCTTCGGCTGGTGAGATGGGCTTGATTGCGGATGCTGCTGCTGCGGCGGCGAGTGACAACCGGGGGCAGCTTCTTCTGTTTGTGGTTGCGCCGGCGATTGTTTGGGTTCTCTACAACATTTTGCAACCCGCGCTTAACCAACTCAACAGGATGAGATCTGAGTGAGGTTGGTTAGGGAAGATGGAGTTTTGTCTACACGCTTCTTATGCTTGTTTTGTTCTACCACTTCGTCATTGTAACTTGTATCTATCGTCCTCTCTCTCTCTCTCTCTCTCTCTCTTCATATTAAATATTAATGGACTGCTTCTCTTTTCCATTTATTTATTTTTGCATTACCATATCATTTGAGAATGTTGATGCTTAAATGCTTCATACAAGCCACTTCATTCACTGCATATCACCATCCTAAATTCTGCTAATGACTGATAATAGGAGTGTTTAATGGTTTTGAGATCCATTGTTGGTTTGGACTTTGGATTTTTGGTCTTTATATCTAAAAATTATATTCTTTTATCTCTACAAGTAGCTTTATCAATTCAAGATAAAAAAGAAAATAGAAAAATAAGCGGAAAATATGGAGACAATAATAATTAATTAAACCTAAAAAAAATTATGCGGTCGAGGAACGCATAATAAATTACAGACATACTACGCAATGATTTGGCATTGGCTTGAAACATTTCTAGAGAACTTTAATGCACCTTTTTATAACTATATGTATATCGCAGTAACGCATCACTTTGTTCTAAATCACCAACAATGATAGATAAACACGCTTACACGGCAAAATAGCGCCCTGTTTGCGTTAGAACGAGCATTAAACCCTCGAGTAACAAGTCAACAAAGAGAGAGCTCTGTAAGAACAAAAAAAAATGAACAAAAATACCACTGTTGTGGTGAGTGTACTTTTTTCCTTTGTTTTGCTGAAACATGTGATTACTCGGCGAGGCTCTCTGGATTGAATTCTGGCTGGCTTTGCGACTCTTCCAATTGAGAGGCTGTTGTCTTAGCCTTCTTAAACCTGCTTGAGCTTCTAAGAAGCTGATCAATTGACATCCCTTTTGTGCCTGAAAAGCTGCCCAAAGAATGATTTCAGAACTCACCTACTGCTAATTCAATTATGTAACATGATACATGAATTATGATGCAACATAAAACAAAAGAGAAGCCCCAAAAACTTTTGTTGTCCGCAATGATACATAGTGTGTTTGTTTTGGAGTTGAACTAAACGCCAGTTAAACTCAAAGCAACTCCCCCTTCTTATTTTTATTTTTATTTTTTGCTTTGGAAAGTGGGAAATGTGTTTGCATTGTTTCAAATGCATTCTCAAACATAGACATAGAGATATAAGAGTTTCAAAGTAACAATTTTGTGCAGCAAGGTTTCCCCAGCTTTCCCCAAACCACCTAATTTTAATAAGAGAAATGCTAACATTCTTCACCAATAAGCAATGTGTCTGTCCCAGCTAAAGATAAAAACTAGTTGAAAATCCTGTGAGATACAGATTCATGTAACTTAAAGGATATAGCAAAAAATATTGGTAATACCCTGGCCAAGCCACGATCCAAGAGAACAAGGTTATTAGTTTGCATATTCCCGACATGGGTGCATGTGAATGGCTCAATTAACACTGAAATACTGAATAAACCATCCATTTGAAAGATTTCACATTACAATTGAGCGATAAAATATTCACGTTTAAACATAAATTTATACAATAAACTAAAATAAAAATAACATTTATTTTTAAAGATACCCTTAAAAGCTCTTATTTTCTTTAGACAACGTAAATTGCCAAACAAATAAAATTTAAGGCCCAGAAAATACAGTCACAGTAATTCTAGCTTTGCTACGTTACTGTGATAAAAATATCGTTAGTAGTCAACAATAGATTTTGTTCGAAGGTAAATGCTCATATAATTCAAGAAATCTCAAATGATAAAAATTATGACGGCAAATGGTAGCAAAAGGTGACACAGGATTCGATTTATTGCTGAAAATAGTCAAACATGCAAATGATTTGTGGCCAAAAGCAAAAAGCATATGACTCTGACAACTTATATCAGCATTCAGCAGAAATGCAATTTATTAACTTACCTTGCTTTTAAGGAACTTCTTCCACCATTTTCCGGACTTTGCCCACCATATGAACCTGATAAAAAAAGAACAAAAGAAATTGGTTCCATGTATCACCATTTTTATGAAGAAACAAGATTAACTGAACATAGCCATATAAATCTTTAATTCAAGCTTGTCATCCATAGCAACATCAAAATTCAAAAAGCATAAGATAGTCAAGATACATATTCTAGAGGAAAACAAAAAGATCAACAAAATGGAACGGTGGATATTAATACCACATTCTTGACAACTGAAACAGCAAAACTTTCCTCGGTTGGTATATAAGAAACTGGTGGTATCCACAATGCCCCTAAGTACTAAGTAGTTGTCAGAAAAATATTTTCCACGACAAATCTTTAGGAAAGTGGTGAGCTACAAATGTACATCAACTATGCTGACTATCTGATTATAATTTCTTGTTGAAATGAACAAGAAACAACCAGAAAAATCTAAACCGTAATAATCTAATGATTGTTCATTCATCTTCTAACATTAACAAAGTAATACCTTGAGAACATAAAATAATTCTTAAAATTAGCAGGGAACAAACAAGCTTTTTATCTCAATTTCAAGAATTTCAATATTTTCAAACATATTATGAGGGTTAGCAACTGCAAAGATCAAATCTCAATTTAAAAAAGATAAAGAAAAGTTTATTTCTACATAAACTTACTCGTCCACCCACAGAGATCGAAGAATAATTATACACACTGTATCAACTTATTAAAACATAAAGGACTCCCAATTAAAATATATTTCAATTACCAGTTGGTGAATCCAGCCCTGAACTACTATCCTCATCAGAAGAATCAGACAACAGTGGATTATCTGTTGAAGTTCTAGTGCTGGCATCAACTTCATCTTCGGAGGAGCTGCTACTATCATAATTGAAAATTGCTCCAGCTAACAAGCTCTTCTTCTGATGTGTTTTACTCACAACTCCATTAACATTATTTCCAGAACCTTTTCCTGCTTTATTTTGAACCACTTTTATAGAACCTTTCAGCTTTGAGTTTGATACAGGAAAAAGTTCTCTTCGTTTCTCCAAATCCATGCTTTTCCCGGAAGCATTGACACGATCCTTTCTGTCAATTCTGTGTACATTTGGTACCTTCTTACCAGGGTGAATCCTTACATTAAGCTCTTCCTTTGATGATAACTTCTGTGAGGAGCTTAAATCCTCAGCATGGGTTTGTCTGGTTGTTGCTTCAAGCCCATGCATGTTCTTTCTGGCCATTGTCTCAATATCTGTCCTATCTTTTCCATTCATCTTGTCAACAAGCATGTCATCTGCCAAATTAGCTTCATCTTGTTCTTTTCCGGATGAAAATTGTTGGACAGTATCTTTACTCACAGAATTAAACCGAGAATCGGAATCTTTACTCCCAACATTAAATTGAGAATCAGAAGGTTCACGTCTAACAGAGTCTTTTGCTGGTTCCAAATTTGTTTTGCCTGATTTGTTAGTGAAGTTTGTGCTTGTAGACATACTTTTCTTTGTCACTGCAACTGGAGGTTTGGCAGGTGTTCCATTGCCAGAAGATTCTGATGGTTTCTTACTATCAAGAACTTGATCTGTTAGCATATTTGATATGCTTTTTGAGGTAGAAGTCTGTTTGTTGTTTGATTTCTTTCTCTGTCTCTTGGCCATATGTTCAGCATTAGATTTAGTTTTAATTTGTTCCAAGGAACAAGCATTCTCAGCACTAAAATCATCCACATTATCAGAAGTCCCTTGCATTTCCTCCTGCTTTATTTTTTCCCCATCTGTCTGATTTAAAGGATTTTCCTCTGTCTCCTTATTTCCCGACATAGAATCACAATTTGTTTCACTACAAGACTTCATAATAACAGTTTCACTCGCAAAAGCATCCGTGAAGCTAATGCCTTTTCTAGGTGTGGGCTGTCCACTGGAATTCTTATTCTTTCTCATCCCTTTTTTTTCCTTCTCTGATTTTACAGGTTCAGTCATTTCATTGACATCGACAACTTTTGAAGTCACATTTAATTCTCCGATGTTTGCATCAGTGTTGTCCTGGTTGAATAATGTGGAGTTATCTAAAAGCATTAGTTCAGAACCATTTTGTGGGGATACTACTCTACCCTCCTCAGCTCCCTCAATCTGACCAGCTTCATTTTCATGACATTGGTCAAGGACAGCATTCTCCTTATCCTTAGTCAGCACCATAGGCTCGTCCACATCAGAAGTTTGTGATTTTATTTCAAAATCAGAATGGTTCTTATAATTTCCTGTTCTTTTTTCTGTAGAATGAATGCTTTCTTTGCATGCATCTGTTCCAGTCTCTACGTTGTCTATAGTAGTTTTGCTCATACTGATATCTGCCCTAAAAAAGAAAAGAGATCAGTAGTAGATAAAATATTTCTTTCACTATTCTAAAATTAACTTCTTTTGTTAATTTAATCTCAATAAAAATAAAAATATAAAACTAATCTTAACATATTATGATGATACAATGTTAGCACCTAAAAGGAAGGTACTTTCTACCTTTAGAGAATAGGCCATCTTCAGATATTTCCTCCTGAACGCCTCTTTGAATGCCGGAATGATCTGCTTCTTCTTCTTTCCTAGATGAAGTAACTACAGGTGTTTCAGGAGGATTTGATGAGTTCATCTTCCCTTTCCTCCTCTTACTCCGCACACTAGTTTTAAGCAGATCAGTGTCATTAAAATGTTCAGCAGATTGGCCAGCATTGCTGTTTTGAATCTTCTGTTTATCCTCCAAAACATGGATAGAAGCATTGTCTGCATTTAAATCATTAAACAACTTTTCCTCGGACAAACTTTTTTCTCCACTTTTGCCTTTGCCCTTCTTTTTCTTTGCAGGAGGGTCAGTATGTAAAATGTCTTCAGTTGCCTTATTGTCCTTATATTCATCATTATCCCTAGATTTTTCGTTCTTATGTTCAAACAGATCCTCTGATTCTTTCCTTTCCTCATGAGCTTCAACAGTCAAAGACCTTTTCATTCTCTTATGCTTCTTATTTGTAGCAAGTCCAGGTTCTGAAGCCTCTTTAATTGACACTGCTACATCAATGTCATTCTTAATGTTATTATTGTTGCAATCAGTGTACTGATGTTCCTTTAAATCTTCAGTTTTGCTAATCACTTCTTTATCTGCAAGCTCTGAAGGGTTTGCTACGACGTCAATATCCTG